TTTTTTAAAATTGAATTTTCCTTAAATTACACCTCTATTTTAATAGCAAATATCCTCCCCCAGAAACAACAGGCTGGCCAAACTTTAGGCGCATAAAATGCCACTTTTTCACCCAGTTTGGAATTTTATTTGCTGTTTGCTGCTTTCTTGGTGGTTTTTTTCCATACATCCTTAAATTTTCAGAGTGAAATGGTTTGCCCATTCAAAATACCTCTCTGCATTTGGGAGAACCAGTTTTGGGGAGCCCCTTTCTGCCGGCCAAGCCAAAGTTTTCCCATCATCAGAAGAGCACAGAGGTGGCAGGATTAGGCCTGATTTCCTTTGGAATATTCTGCCTGATAAACCCTCATCTGTTTCCAATAATTTCACCTCTTTCCCTTAAAATTTCTGGCAAAAAAAAAAAATATGTAGAGGGCAAAATATAAGCTGCATCTTAAAAAAAGAAAAAAATTGCTGTTATTGTAAAAGTGGATGAAGAAATGCACATGGATGGGTGAAAAATAATTAATCCTGATTTAATACAGTCTTAGATTGAGCACCACCATTCACTGCCTTAAGTTTTACTGCTTTACAAAAATTTGTGAGCATTTATATTATATATATAATATATACATGGTATATATTTAATATATATGTGTTGCACAGAACACCCCACGGCTGCAACATAAGCTGTGCTTGGTAATACAGCACAATTTTTAAGTAAGGAATTGGATTATTAACAGGGGTGACAGAATGCTCGTGATGGTGTTATTTTTATTATTATCATTGATTTATTTGCAATTTAAATTCTACTGCATGGGTGGCTTGGAGGGGGGAATAAACACTTGTGTGTTCAAGCTTGATCTTGCTCAGAGATTAGAAACCCCAATTCTGTGGGTTTCATCCCAAATCCCAGACTGGCGGGTGACAATTAAATTAGGAGGGAGCGCAGAAGGTGGATTCAAACCCGGAGCGGGGAACAAAGCCCTGGGCGAACCTTCCCCGCCGGCGGGGTTGAGGTGAGAAATGCGCCGCTTGCGAAAGGGGGATGGAGGAAAATGCAGACGTCCTACAGCCCCATCCCGATATCCTACAGCCCCATCCCGATATCCTACAGCCCCATCCCGATATCCTACAGCCCCATCCCGATATCCTACAGCCCCAACCCAATATCCTTCAGCCCCATCCCGATATCCTACAGCCCCAACCCGATATCCTACAGCCCCAACCCGATGTCTTACAACCCCATTCCAATGTCCTACAGCCCCATTCCAATGTCCTACAGCCCTATCCCGATGTCCTACAGCCCCATCCCGATGTCCTACAGCCCCATCCCGATATCCTACAGCCCCATCCCAATGTCCTACAGCCCCTCCCCACTGTCCCGCAGCCTTTTCTGCCATCCTACACTCACGTCCCCCTGTCCTATGGCCCCATCCCTGTGTCCTAAGGTCCCATCCCTCCAGGATCAGGGACAGGACGATGCTGGGCCGTGCTCATCGCCTGCCACCCCACAGGGACCAGCCACCTTGTCCTTCGGGGCGCGGGGAAGGTCAGGGGCTGCTTGTAGGGCAGAGGGTTGTAACAAATGCCAGTGAATCGCTGGAAATGTCAGCCCCGGGATGCGACAGGGCAGATCTCTTAGCATCCCTGTGGGAAAGCTTAAGATCTGGTTCCCAATCTCTCCCCCAGCAGCAGCAGAAAGGACATTTTCCAACCCAGTGTCTGCTCCAGGCTTTGATCTTCCCAGATGCTGTGTTCCAGCAGCGCCTGTTTGAGGAGCCCTGACTTCGATTTAACCAAAAATAAAAACAAACCCAAAAAAATAACAAACCAACAGAAATAAACCCCAAAACCCAAAAGCACCCACCAGGAATGCCCACAGCCCCGATTTATCCCCAACCACAACAACCTCCGCGATGCCACAGCGAAAGTAAAATCCCCGCTGTGAGCAAAATAAAAGGGAACGGGGATGGCAATCTGGGATCTGAGCGTCTTTCCCCAGCCTGGAAAGATCCAGGAGGCAGCGAGGGGCTGCGGGATGGATGCGCTCGGACCCCGGTGCCACCCTCCATCCCCGCTCCCCTCTGCCTGGGGAAGGACCTAGAGCCAAACTGCCCATCCAGGGGAATTTTAGGAGCGATTTCAAGAGATTTTTGGTGCTGGCGGGGAAGTCTTTGGAGAGGGGATTCTGCAGCTGGTCCTTTTCATGCCTCATTAAGTCGGGAATTCGCAGTAACTCCATCCCAGGCAATGCCCGGGGCAAGTTCACTGCCTCGATCACAGGGTCTGATCCTGCTCTTCAGGGTAATGAAATCAGTCACCGAACTTACCCTAAAAAGCCCAAATTTGGCATTTTGAGCACACACCAGGGAGTTTTTCAAACTGGCCCGTGTGTTTTACCCATCCTCCCCAGTGCTTTATACCACGGTTTAACCCAAGCCAAAATTCCTTATTTTAGGGGGAAAAAAAATAAAAAGAAGGTTTGTATTTATTTTAGTGTTATTTTCTTTTACTACATTTTCACTAATCTTCTTTTCTCCGTGTGTTGCTTTATTGTTACGGTGATATATTTATATAAAACGGGGAAAAAAGTCGTGCCCAATTGCACAGACGGTGAATTCGTGTCTGCATATTCACCTAAACCTGCCTATATTTGATCTTTATTTTTAAAAAATGATAATAATTAAAATTTTAATGACCTCAGGGGTGCTCTGCATTTAACACTACCCGAAGGTGGTGGTTATTTCTCTTTTTCTTTGGAAAAGAAAGTGAGAGCGCTGCAAATACCACTCGATTTAAAAGGATTGCGTTTCCACCTTGAGATTCCTCGCTGTGCAGAGAATAAAATTACTTTTAGCCCTGAGAAAAGGCAACTCCACCGTGCCAGAGATCATCTCTCAGGAGCTGACCAGGCTCGGATGTGGGATTAAAGTGGGTCTGTGATGGGAGCAATCCACAACGGTGTCCCCCCCATGACATCGTTCACTGCCTTCCGTTTTTCAGGATTTTTTACCTTTAAAATCATTAAAATAAAACCCTTTCCCAGTTTGGAATCCCTTTCCCAGCCTCTCCATGCTTCACTCAACCCCCTCGGTGCCCAAAGCATCGCTCGGCTTCAAGGAGGGACCCGGCAGCGGCCGCGTCCCGACTCAGGGAACGGGGCTGGACCTTAAACTTCTTCCCGGAGGAAAATCCATCTAAAACTCACCAGCTCTCAGGCAGCTCATTTTCTTTTTTTCTTTTTTTCTTTTTTTTCTTTTTTTTTTTTTTAACCCAAAACCCAAGCACTTGTGTTTTAAAATCCGAGTGCTTTTCCATATCCAAGCCAGAGGCGCAATTAGCCCCATGCTAATGAATCTCGCGGATTCGGCCGCGCTGCCGAAAATCCGGCACCCGAGTCAGGACCTGGCCGTGAACAGGAGTCCCTTCTCCTTCCTCCTTCATTAAAACACATTTTCGGGACTGTCTTAACCCATCTCTTCTTCCCAGTGCTATTTAAAACTCCATTTTTTGCCATCAAAATGCGGAGCTGCAGCACAAACCACCAGACTCAAAACCCCGAAATCCCCACGCTGGCACTTTAAAAGCTGATGGTGTTTCTGCAATTGCAATTCTTCATTTGCATTGTTTTGGAGTTAGGTTATTTTTATTATTAAGAACACTTCTAAAACCACCACAAAAAGGTGATTTTTTTTTTTTTTCCCCAAGGAAGAGATGGCATCATGGTAAAATACAAATATTCAGATGTGCTTGATGATATTCAATTAATATTTGATCGTTTAATTCATCCTGATTTTTTCCTCTATGATCTGCCTTCTAATGGCTTCCCAAAAAACATTGTCAGATTGGTTAAAATTTTATCCTTAATCTGTTCCTCGTTTTGAGAAATTAGCACCTAAAGAAAAGCACAAGATTTTGGCAAGGCCAAGCCTTCACCGACGTCCAACTTTCCTTCTTTTAACATCTTAAAATAATGCTAAAGACAACGCAAATCCTGCTGGACACGATGGAAAAAATCACCCTCCAAAATTCGGGTCAGAGAACACATAAAATATATCTATCATAAAATAGATCTGTAGCAAAATTTGAGGTGTTTTCTTTGTTAACCCCAACCCCAAAGCCGACAGAAACACCTTCACAGAGAGGAAACGGGAAGGAAAAAAGGGTTTTTGAAACCACAATGCAAAGATGTGCCTGCATTTCTTTCCCCTTTTATCCCTCTTCCACCCCACGAAATATAAAAGCAGTATTTTAAGCCATTTGGACCAATTCTTCATTGTAGGAACCAGAGGATTTTAATGAAATGAAAGGCTCTGAGACTGGGCTCGGCACGAGAGATCAGGGTGAGGTTTTTTTGGGGGAAGGAGACTCTGAAATAGCAGGGTTGTGTCAGATATGCCTGAGTTCCCCAAAAAGCACCATTATAAATGTAGATGCATTCCTTTTAATCCTTCTCCATCATCTCTCCCAACTCAGCTCTAAATTTGCTCTCCCTTTCCGTAGCCCAACTGACCTTTCCAAAAAAACTTTTTAAAAGACCAGAACTTCAAGCAGCCCGAAGGGAAGATTTGCAATTCATGGACCCAACTTTGATTTCTTAATGCTCCCAGTTTTACACCTGAAGCCAGCTGAGGGATGGACTGCGTGTGGATGGAAAATGTGGTCCTGCACCCCACAATCCCCTTCAGAGCCCCTAAATCCCCGCTGAGCTATCTGAGGAGCCAGCAGGCCCGCGCTCCAGAGCTCAGCTCATCATTCCTTGCCACTCCAGGCCTGCCCTAAATTCCATGTATTTTTTGGAAACTCCGGCCTTTGAGGATGTTTTGGAGCGGTGATTTTGCAGAATAAGTAAGAATAAGGACCCCAACGCTTTCCAGTCAGAGAGGCAGCGCCAGCCCCAACACTCTAAATTCCTCCCTCCTGCCCTTTGCGCCTATGCACAGGGTGGGGTGTGTGCCCCAAAATCTGGGGGGTAAGGGGGTGAAACCTTCCCTCCCATCTCCCAGCCCTCTGCTCACCGATGTTGGCGTGGCGGGCGGCCGCGGGCGTCCCTCGGCTCTGCAGGTTGTGCAGCATGGGGCTGTCGAAGGGCGAGGAAGTCCAGGTCGTGGCCATTTCGGGGCTCATGTAGGCCGGGTAGGGGCTGGAGTAGGAGCTGCCGAAGCCCCTGCTGTACTGCTCCCTCCCGTTAGCAGAAAGGTTCAAGGAGCTGCTGTAAGCCGCCGCCGCCTCCCGGGAAGAGGTGGCCGGGATGGGGGTGCTGGTGGAGAAGGAGAACCGAGGTGACACGGGAGGGTGAGAAGATCCAGGGTTGTAAGCGGCGCTTTCGGCTCCGGGCTGAGTCCAGATGGAGTGGCTGGAGACGGGGCTGCCTTGCTGGGAAGAGCCGCTGCTCTGCAGGTAGGGCAGGCTGGGGAGCATGGAGGTGACCCTCGTGGTGGGCACATAGACCGGGGACGCTGCGGCCGCGCTGTGCATGAAGCCACCTGCCCCCTCGTACGCCGGAGGGCCGGGGTTGGCTGCCATGGCTAAGCTCTGGTACATCTCGTGCGGGGCCTCCCCAAAGCCCGGCCGGCTCCCCGGCCGCGATCCGGAGCGATGGGGAGCGCCTGGAAAACCCTCGGCTCCACTTTTCCCCGCAGCGGTCTCGCGTGGGCGCAGCCTTCCAGCCAAAACCAAAACACCACCAGCGATGCGATTTNGGGGGGGAGTTAAATTAGGGAAAAGTAGAGGGGAAAGAGGGAAAGGAGGAAGGCTGGCTCGACCCTCCCACCCCACGCGTGTCTGCACCCCCTACAGCCGTGACCGAGAGGGCTTAAAGGAGAGGGGTGGGCATTATCCACTGCAGCCCCGTTAGTGCTGCCCAAAGTGGGAGCAGACCCCAAGCAGCACCCACAAAATTCCCCCTCCCCGGTGGTTTTTTATCGCTCTCCCCCGTTTTTCCCGTGTGGGGAAGCGGGAGGAGCTGGAAGCACAGTGGGGTGAGCCGCTGGGGACTGGGAATGCCGTCGGTCTGGATGGGGAGGGATGTCCCAGAGCGGTGGGAAATGTTGGGGGAAAGGGGTGCTTTACTTCATGTCGGGTTGGTTTCGCACTTGGGGAAATTTGGGGGATTTTGGGGTGGGTTTGGGCCTTGGGATGCCATTGGGGCCTTGCGGGTGGCAATGGCAATGGCAAGACCCCAAAACCCGCTTGTGGAAAGGGGTCAGGGTGAAACCCCTTCCCCAAGGAGGGTCCGGGAAAGGGGGGGAGATGAGTTGAGGTGATGTTTTCTCTGGAAATCATGGAAGCAGCCTCTGGGAACAGCCCGGTCTGGTGGAAGGTGTCCCTGCCCACGGCAGGAGGGTCAGGACTGGATGGGCCTTAAGGTCTTTTCCAACCCAACCCATCCTGGAGCTGTAGGATTCCATGAACACCACCTCAGGGCAGGAGAAGGGCTGGATGGAGCACGGAGCGGGGAATTACGGCCGGAGACAGAACTCTTGGGACTGCTTTAGGTTTCAGCAGCAGATTCCCCCGGCTGAACCCCTCGGCTGGGCTGAATTTAGCAGCAGAAGAGATAACCAGCAGATAAGGACTGATACCCTGGGAGGACAGCGGCAGACAATGGGCGGCCGGGCAAGGGGAGAGAAGCCGGAGGCAGCGTTGGGAAGGGGTAAGGATGGAAGCGAGCCGGGGAGAAGGGGCTTTAAGGGAGGTCTGTGTTCCCCCCGACCCCACGGGAATGGTTGGTGTGTAACCGGCCTAGGACGGAGCTTTTCCACAGGATTCCCTAAAGAGGAGCAGGACTCACGGGAGGGGAACAAGGAGCGAGTTCCCCTCTTGCCCTGCAAATAGTAGTGGTGATAATAATAATAAAAAAAAAAAAAATCAACCAAAAAATAAAAATAAAAAAGCAAAATCGAGTCACTTTTCAAGCCCGAGGAGACAATAGGAGGAAGCTTTTGGGGAGGCCTCTAGGAAGGGGCTCGCTGGGGTCCCGGCGAGGAAGAGGAGCGAGGGGACGGAGAAGCGCTACCCACCTTCAGTGCTGGGGGGCACAGGGGTGGAGAGGGGGGGGGCCGTGGGGCAGGGACCCCCCCTCGCTGTGGGGAAGGCAGAGGGCTCAGAGATGCCCGGCTCCTGCTTCCTTTGGGGGGGAATAGGGGCAGCGCTGCCCCCCTCCCGGCTCCCCAGTCTGCCCAGTCCCACTCGCTGACTGGTTTTCCCACATCACGTGGAAATGGGCGGCGATGGGAGGGAAGCGGGGGGGGGTGAAGGGGGTGGCCGGTATCTCTTGCACCATCAGCCGGGCGCCAGGTTTCGTGGCTGTGGAGAAGAGGAAAGGGAAAAAAAAAAAAAAGGAAAAAAAAAATAAAATAAAATAAAAAAATAATTAAATCAAAGCAGCCCCACCAGCTGCGCAGCCCAGGGATGCCCGTTCCCTGCTCCCAGAAAAAAATCAGGGATTTTCTGAGCGGTACAGACACTCTCCAATCCCTCAATCCCGTTGGAGTCAACCCCTTTCGTTGGCGCTGCTGCAGAGGGGAGATTTTTCCGTGTTTCTGCCCCAAATCGCCATCCCAAACACGGAGTGAGGAGGTGGCAGCTGGTCTCCCCTCTGCCCCAGCCAGTCTGGGGGTGCTCTCCCCAAACTGGGCACCGGTTTCCTGCCCCTCCATGCTCGGATGGGTTTAAGGGTTAATGATGAAGCGCAGCACCCTCTGCAATTTGGGGTCCCAGTCCCACGTGGGGTTCAGCACCCCCCATCCGCAGCCCCCCTCTCCTAAGGGCTCATTTCACCCTGGGGTCTCTCCAGACATCGGGGGGGTTCCACTGCCCTGTTTCCCGGGAATAACTCTCACACCATTCATATTTCCCACACTCTGGAATTTCCCGTGGGAATTTGGGGTTCCTACCCTAAGTCGGGGGGCGGGGGGGGGGAGATGCCAGAGGATTTTGGTGCTTGAAAATAAAAAATTTAAATTAAAATTTCAAATCTCCGTATGAAAAAGACGGGGTCGGGGGGAAGAGGGGATTGGGAAAGCGATTTATTGAAGGGGGATGGAAGGTGAGGAGAGCACTTGGAGAGTGGTCCAGGGTTAGGAATGAAGCCCCGGGAATGTGGGAACCCCTCATCCTCTGCCCTCACCTTATTCTGAAATACCCAGGGGGCACAGGGACTCCCCAAACCCCCAAAAGTGGGAAAACGCTGTTGGAGATAACCCCAATTATCGGGATTAAAATAATTATAGCCCCGTATAGAAATAGAATTATAATCACAGAAATGCATAACAAATAAACATCAGCAAGGGTGTCTTTGTGCGTATTTGTACTTTCAGCACACGGGGGAAAAGACGTAATTTATAAAAAGTGTGCAGCTTTATACAGATCGATACAAAAATTAAGTATAAATATGAGATTTAATGTATGTTATGATTCACAGGAATGTGTTACATGCGAACATAGATGTACTGTCATACCGAAATAATTTATTGTTTATAATTTATAACGCCCTGTGGTATTGTTTTTGTATGTAAATTATGAAGGAAAGAAAGGGGAATTAAATATATCGATGTCTCTTTTTATATCCCTCCTCCGAAACAGCTGCCTATCCAGATGTGCCGGGTTTGGGACATTCATCTTTTCTTCCCTTGCAAAATCACTGATGGTTTTCTCTCCCCAAGCAGCGTTTCACTAAAGATTCGTTGTATTCTTGCAGAAAAGCAGCTTTTTCCTTGGTAAAATAAAAAATAAAAAAAGAAAAAAAAAAAAAAAAGCAAGGGAAAAAAAAAACCCCAAAACAACCAAACAAAAACAATTTATATTTATTAAACCCTCCCAAGCAGCAACACCAGGAGCAGAGAAGATTTCAAGAACCTGTTTTGGCTTTGCTACTTCCAGGAAAAAAGCTACAAAAGCGATTCCCGTGGATTGTTTGGCGTGAAGAGTGGCCGGATCCAGCCCTTTCTGCAGGGAATTATCGGCCGGAGGGGCCGGGAATGGCAGGGACGAGCATCCCAAGAGCCGGCAGGGAGAGGATGGATTTAGGACACATTTAGGATTTTCTCCCGGAAAAAGCAGACGGGACACAGCAAAACCCAGCGGCAAAAAAAAAAAAACAACCCAAAACTAAACCCAAAACTGTGTTCTGCACGCGGTGGAGACTTTTTTTTTTCCTTGCGATTAACGAAATCTGTGTGAAAATAACCCAGGGGAACAAACTTTGGCCTTGCCTCTCTCCTTTCCAGCCTTCAGTTCTGCCCCAGGCAGGAAAAAAGTCGATACGAAAATATGCCTATTTTTAGGGCTTTTCTTGTGGTGTTTTTTGGGGTTTTTTTAAATAATTTTTTCCCCCCGTATCGAACTTACTTCCGCGGTGGTTTTAGAGTTAAAGCTCCGGGTGTTGATGCATGGGAAAAAAAAAAAAAAACAAACCAAAAAACAACCAAACCTCCCCCCAAAAAAACCCCAAAACACTTTAGAAACTAGTGGCGGGGTGGAAGGAGGGGAAGAGGGGAGAAAGTTAATTTAAATTTCTATCTGCGCTAAAAATTGATTTTTTAAAAAGTCACGAAGAAAAATGGTTGAAAATAAGTGGAAAAATCAGCGGGGCAAATGTGATTTTAGGAGGGCAAAAAAGAATAAAAGCGGCCGGCGGCTGCTGCGTGTTGGACACTTGGGAGTAATTGGGGTTTTTATTAGTATTACCTTAATTTTTTTATTTATCCCTTGCTTTGGTTGCGGCCGGGAAGGGTCTGGAGGAGGGGGCTGGGGGGAAACTGAGAGTTCCAGACTGTGGGAGGGGATTTGTCACCCCGGGACGGCGGAGAGGGGAGAAATCGGCTCCAAAAAAATCCGGTGCCTTGGGTTGGTCGGGATGGATCAGCTATAGGTGTCTATCTATAGGTGTTTATCTATAGGTGACTATCTATAGGTGACTATCTATGGGTATCTCCAGGCTGTCCTTGTGTTAGAGCAGCCGGTGCAGCTGCGGAGGGGAAGAGGGGGGGTCCCAGGGCCGGATTTTTGGGGCTGCGCGGCAGGACCGGGGTGTTTGGGGTGTGGGGGTGGCCGGGAGTGCGGGACGAGGCTCCCTGCGAGCCAGGAGAGGTCTCGGGGAGCATCGCCTCCTCCCGCCCCCTTTCCACCCGTCTGGGGCTCTGGGGATGGACGGGGGGCGCTGCCCCCAGCCCTGCCCCTCCAGCCCTCCCCTGGTCCGGCAAAAGGGGGGAAATGCCGAGGTGAAGCCCTGCTGGAGCTGGGCGGGGGGAAGGATGAGCCCCCCGCCCTCCTGGGGGACAGATCCTGGACCTTCCTCTCCGGGGAGCCTCGGGGTCCCCGCTCTGGGGCCCCCCTGCACCCCCGTGCCCACGGACACGTCTCAGGACACCCCAGCGCAAGGACACGCCACGGGGACACGGCTGGAAGGGACAGAGGGACAGCACAGAGGGACCCTGCTGTGGCTGCCACCCCCGCCCCGGCTTGACCAAAGGCTCTTGTCACGCCTTTCAGAGACGCTTTCCCAAACAAATGTCACATCTGTTTACAGGACGGCAGCGGTCCTAAAATGCCACCAGCCCCACCCCAAAGGCCAGGTAGGCAGGAGGGTGGCCAAGGAGCATCACGGCTCAGCGGAGCTTCAGGAAAAGTCCTAAATCCTTCCTGACTGCTCCCTCTACCCCCAAATATTATATTATTGGTTTGTTTTGGGGTTTGTTTTGTTTTGTTTTGTTTTGTTTTTACCTCCAGTGGAAATAAGTACAAGTGACTTTCTCAGGGCAAAAGCCACGGGATGCTGCAGAGGTGCGTGGAGCAGCGATCCGTGCTCTGATGCAGCAGGAGGGGAGAGGCTGGGAAATGAGGGACAATGCCGTGGAGATCTGGGGACAGGCAAAATCCAAACCCCGCCTGGAACGGGGATTTTTGGGAAACGGGGATCCCTAGGAAAAGGGAAGCACGGCACATGTGATGCCCGGCGTGTCTGTGCCACTGTGTGTGCGTGGGGGGGACAGATGTGTCCCAGAGAGCACTGAAAGTACAGCGTGGATCAGTGTCCTGCCCTCCTGTCAGCTTGACTGCCAAAATCCAGGGAACTGAGCCTAAAACGTCAGGGCTGTGAATTTCCCGGCCTGGCATTCTCTGGCTCGGTGGGGAGAGGTGGAAGGCCAGCTCAGGGGGCTGCGGCAGGGCGGTGTGACCAGGGTCTGCGTGTCACCTGCGGACACGCCTCACCCGTGGATGGGGCATCCCCCGGGGCCACCAGCACGGGGGCGAGTGGGCGAGCATCACCCGCGGTGGGGGGGACCCCGCTGGGGATGAAGGGGGTGCGTCACCCCCTTCATCTGTGCGGTTCTGCTGTCATCATTGTCACCGCCCTGCGACGCAGTGACAGTGAAACCACCCGTGTGGAGCACGCCCGCGGTGACATCCCGGCTGTCGGGGACTGACCGGCCCCGGCAGAGCCCCTGGTGTCTGCAGGGAGCAGCAGCGGTGATGGAAAACCCCTTCCCACTCTCGGAGAGGCTGGAAAAGCCACGCGCATCGGGCAGGGAAGGCTCCTTTGCCTGGAAATGCCTGGGCTGGAGCCCTGGGAATGCGGAACCTCAGTCGTTATCACCACCCATCATCTATCCAGATATCCATTTATCCATCGTCTATCCGTATATCCATTTATCCATCATCTAGCCTCTTATCCCTATATCCATCATCTAGCCATATATCCCTATATCCATACATCTCTGTAACTCCCTACTCATTCCCATGTCTTATTTGCTTTTTTGTGCCCATCTGCTTTGCCAGAATATCGATTTATTAATCCATGTATTTATCCATGGGTCTGTATCTCTCTCACTGGGCTGTTTTACCTTCCTACTCGCCTGTACCACTCACTGTGTGTCCTTACCTGTCACCGTGGGGTCCCCTCTGCCCCCGTACCCCCCCTGACCCCCTCAATCTGCCCCACTGGGGTGTCCGTAGCCCCTCACAATGATGCTGCCCCTATCCCAGACCCACGGGGACCGGGGATTCCCTGCATCCCTTCGGCGTTACCTACAGCCTGACCCCCCGTGCTGTTCTCCGCACCCCAACTTCTCCTCTCCCCTCCCCAGATACATCCCGGACGGATGGCGCTGCCTCCATCCCCACCTTCGTGGTTCTCGCTGCT